GATTTTTTTGCCCGTCTTGCTTGCTGGGCCAGATGGGAGGAGAGCCTGCAGGGCCAAAGACTGAGCCTTTCTCCTTGCTCCATCAGAAACAATTCAGCGGATTCAGCCAGGGTCTCGGAAAGCCCACCTTAACCCTGGGGACAAGCTCCTTGTCCCTGAGCAGGGGCCGTAGGCGGTCTGGCCCCTTCCCATCCCAGGCTTGGGAAGGGGGAGCTCATTAGTGCTCATTTCCACGTTGCTGATGCCCACCTGGGACAGCAGCCGGCTTGGCTGGGGGCTGCGGTCTGTAGCCCCCCTGGTGCTGACGGCTTCTCCTCTCCCTCTGCAGAGCCCCACGAAGGTGTCTTGCAAAGGGGTTGGCCTGCGCAAGTTTCCAAAGGAACTTGGCCAAGGAGTGAAGTACCTCGAGCTCTCCAACAACTTCATCCAAAACCTGTCGGGCAGCCACATGCCAGGGTTTGGGCAGCTTGAGTACCTGGACGTCTGCTTCAACCAGCTGGAAGCCGTGTCAGCCACCGCCCTGGCTCAGCTACCCCAGCTGCGCTCCCTCCTCCTGGGATCGAACCGCCTGGACCGCAATTACCTCGCTAACGGGCAAGCCTTTCGTCTGCTCAGCAATATAGAGGTCCTGGACCTGTCGGCAAATAACCTGGAGAGCCACATGGCAGGCTGGTACGTCGGCAACCTCCCCAGGCTGAGGAGGCTCGATCTCTCTGGGAATAAGATGACCAGGCTGCCGGCAGGGATCTTCCGGAGGACGCCACGGCTGCGTGAGCTCGACCTCGGCAACAACTACATCATGGAAATCGAGGAGGGAGCTTTTGAGGCCCTGGAAGAGCTGGAGGTGGTGAACTTGGCTTTGAATTCCCTCCACTGTATCTCTGGCTTCAGCCTCACGCAGCTGCGAGTTTTAAATCTCAGCCACAACGCCCTGGAGTTCTTGGTCTCGGAGGAGGGAGCGGAGCCCTACCTGCTTCAAGTGCTTGACTTGAGCCATAACAGACTCCTCTATTTTCCAGAGCTCCCCAAAGTCCATTATCTCACACACTTAAACCTCTCCAACAACCTTATTGCTTCCCTGCTCCCAGGCTCACGCCATCCGGGGGCGTTTGTACTGCGCTACAAGGAGATGGCGAGGTTTAATAGGACCTTGCGTACCGCAGCCGGTCTGACACATGTAGCTGACTTGGATCTCAGCAATAACCGGCTGCAGATGTTCCCATTTACCTTCTTCCAGAGCCTGGGCTCGCTGCAGAGCCTCAGCCTGGCTATGAAC